AGTATTTGATCCTTGAATTAAACATAAAACTGGAAATTTAGGGCTCTGTAGAGTCTCTCCTCAATCTGTGAAAAATACTTGAGAGCCCAGTAACAGTAGAAATCACTAAACAGAAGGTCTGAAGCAGGCAATTTTATGCTCATGAGCAAGTTGGAATTCATGATGAGTTTGGAAGTATCATTTCTGAGAATGGGAGGAGATTTTGAGTATCAGTAACTAGCTATAGTAAGTGTTCTCCATAGTCCCAGCTACTTTTTCCCTCTGAAAAGGGAAAGGGGAGGAATAAAAAAATTCCGCAGGTGGTGTGAGTTTTTCTAATAGAATTCAACACATTTCTGGAAAGTGTTAAATAGGAAAAAACCCAAACTTTTAGGATCCCTGTAGCTCATAAGTAGAGTCATCACTCTAACAGAGTTTCCTTAAACTGCAGTACATGAATAATGTTATGCATTATGTACAATCTTATGTAAGGTGTGGTACAAAAAACCTCAAAAATCTAGAAAGAACACAGCACCCTCCCAAATTTCAGACTATGCTAAGCAAGCATATATATCAGTAAGGCAATGCTATTCAGCATTCAATACTTAGCCTTTATTTCTACATTTCCTTCTCACCCCTTTCCAGCTGCCCTCTTGGGATAAGGCTGATGAGGGGAAGCTTAAAGGTAAAATAAATCAGAAAGAAAAGCAAGAATGAATTACAACTTAAGCTACTTCTTTATTATGTCTTTCACTCACATTGTGAATTTGGGCAACTTAAGATCTTTCTTAACTCATGCCACTAACAACCTACCCTAGATTGGGCCTCCAGAAGGGCTGTGCAGATATGTACTGCTGCCAGACTGGTTTCCAGCTCCTTTTGGGCAGTACATGCAGATTGCTGAAAGAGTCTTCCAGGAAGACCTTGAAAAAAATGTGGTGATCATTTACTGAACATGCTACTCTGGGTTTGCTGTGATGTATCTTGAAGCCTTCTGTAAAAGCCTTTCTCCATCCATTTCCATAAAGAGAGCTCCCTTCAACACACACACACACTACTTCCTCCAAAACAAAAATCAACTCATGAGAAACTGTAGTCTCTTATTCTCTGCATTGGCACTACCTTAAAAAATGCATGGAGAGGAGACACTTCTAGATCTCTAGCTACCGCCCTTTGCCTTTTGTAACTGCTGCTCTTTGTATGCCTATCTGAGCAGCCTGGCCTGAGCCAGCATTCCTGGTTCACTAGCCAAAACCACAATACTTACAGATTATTCAATCAACTGCCTGGAGGAACGTATCTTCTTTTGGCAGAATGCAAATGAACTAATGCTTTATAAAAGTCTGTGTCAAAAAGAAGGAATCAAACACTAGAAAGTTAATAGTATAGGTTACCAGGTTTCCAGGAAGCAGCAGAGAACTTTCTGGTTTTGTGCCCTGTAATGCAATGTGCTACCAGAACAAACCCAATTAGTGACACAAATAGCAGAGATGAGGCCACATGAGGAACTCAACTGTTCAGGTTCTGCTGGCCCTACGCAGTTTTCTACACTGTCCCTTGCATAATGTGAATGACAGAGCAAGACTGACACAAACACAAGCTCACAAAACACGTTGCCTACTGAGGTTTTGCTTGTTATGGCCAATTTGCTCAACGTCATTCATGACACTGGCAACAAAATTTTATGCTACTGTAGAAGCTTCTTTCTGCTACCAAGAAATATTTGCTGTAAATGGTATGGTGGTCCTGTAACTTCAAACTTGCTCATTTTTATTTGCTCGTTAAATGCCTTTTGGGGAGAAAACTGTTAGGGGTAATTGCTTCTCTATCGATAAGCAGTCTTCAGAGTTTTTACAGCAAACATGGATCATATGAACCAAGCTAGACATTCTCCATTCACGTGTGGTAGGAGTCCACAGCATGGATTAAATTTTTGAAAAACTGCGTACCCTTGCCATCATTTAACACTAACTACTAGCCATCAAAAGAAAGGACTTTTTTTTTTTATCAGCCATAGTCTCCAGCCCCGGATCAAAACTCCCGTTATGCAGTGGTTAATAGACACCAGTTTTACAAGAACGTTAGACTGTGAACTATGTGTTCAGATTGGCATTTATGTCATGCTGTCCCCCACAACTGTAGAGCAAAAAAAGCAGGTACAAGGACTAAACACATGCAGGAAATAGTTAGAAATAGACTGAAATTGGCTAACAGGGGAGAGTTCTCTTATCTGTTGTCCTCTGGTTTCTTCTACTGACAACAAAGCTTTCCTTGTTTTCTGAAACTTATCACATACAACTCCCTTGAGCTAAAGGTAGTGGATGCTTTTAAAAGGTGAATAAAAACTAAAAGCCATCTTCTTTCTGCTTGTATGTTATCTCATGGAAGTAGTCTGTGCACAGGTCTTCCATGTAGTAGGAAGGATCAAACTACTGCCTATCTGGGCATACCATTGCTTTTTCTGCAAATGCAGCATGCCAAACCTTATAACCTTCATCAGAAACAGAGAGATTGCCACCAAGTGGATATCTGGCCCACTAGTTGTCAGTTATTCCAACAAAGTTAACTCCTGGTCCTACGGTAAGCCACTGTACCAAAATGCCATTCTGTAATTCTCAAACATGCAAGATCTTCTCTATTGCCACTGTGTTCCATGTTTTAATCTTAAATGGGATGGAAGAAAAAATTATTACAGAGTTTGGCAGTGTAAAGTAATCAGTTATATTTAGTATTTCCAGAGTCATAGCTAGATAGGTTTTAGGCAAATAATGATTAAAATAAAACCTGAATATCTACAGGGGGAAAAGTGAGATAGTGACTGGGGAGGAATGAAAAAGAATTTATCAACTTAGCAATAAACTTCAGAACTCTAAAATAAAAATATTTTTTAAAGCTTTCTTTCCAGGTCATTTTAATGCACTACAAGAGAATAACACGACTCCTTATATGGAAAGGAGTTGCATCTCAAGACAACTTAAAGCTGGATACTTTAAATCTGAACCCTTGCTAGGAATGGATTCACAGCTTAAAGAACTCTTGAGTTGGAACTTACTAGTTTGTGTCTATTTTGGAAAATATTCTGCACTGCCAAAAGAAAAAGGTCAACCTCAAATACCACAAACTTCATTACAGTATGGTCTCTCACTTGCCCAACACAAACCATCTTCTCTATCTTCCAGGTGACCTATATTTATTGATCAAATATTCAAGTACTTTTAACAAATTTAGGACTTATGACTTAAACTGAACTTTACTGGTATTCACCATAAGGGAAGGTTAAATGAGGAATGAAGGGAAGGACTAGATACTAAGTTTACACCCTTGTGTCTTGTACAGTGCACTTATTTAGTAGTTTTCAATTCCATGGCTGTTGCTTTGATTTTCTGAAGAATTTTGTGCTCAGCATTACACACCTAACTGTGCAGTTCCTCTCAGCACACCCAAACAGCTTTGCAGTGACTACTGGTATTTTTCCTGAAGATATTCCACACCCCACAAAAACTTACTCAGACCTCCTTCCTACAGATATCATGACAGAAAACACTTCTGCAATTTCTTCTCCACACAGTTGCTTTAGCACACAGACAATTGCCTAGAAACACATCTCTAGGCCACACAGAGGTGTAATACAGAATCAACCACATATATTCTCATTATATAATATTCTATTAACATCAGATTATTTTCCAGAAATTATACTGAACTGATTCTTAGAAGAACTCCTACCAATAAATTCTGAACCAGTAGACATAGGGAACGTACATGCCAAATTTGCCTTCTTGGTCATGTGTTAAACTCAACAAAGAGGATCCAAAATTCCAGAGTGGTCTTCAGCTTAGAAAAGTAGTTTGATCCAAAAGACATAAATCCAAGCTTCCCAAGGGCTAAGCTGTATAAAAGCTGTGTTTTTTCAGCTGGATATGGTATTGAGTTACTTTAATTTCATCAGTTATCTTTTAGGTAAACATATAATGCTAGATATATGCGATGTCAAAACAGAACTGTATATTCCATGTAATACTTATTTTTCGGAAGTCCATTAATTCACGCCAGTAAAAATTGCATTTCCAGAACAGTACATTTGAGTTAGATCAAACAGGCGCTTTTTTTGGTTTTTTTTTTTTTTTTTACTTGCTAACGCAAGAGTACTCAATGAAAAAGCACAAGATAGAGAAAACATCCTTCTTCCCACCCTTCAAAATAAGATTGGCTGCAAAAAAAAAAAACTCCAAATGAAACACCGCAATAGTATAATGTCAACAACAGCATGAAATCGTGCTTTGCTTTACACCAAGAGCTCATTTAGGAAATGGTGCCTGCAGGTGTCAACTCTGACCATGCTGCTTTGCTTGGATAATGAACCAGGGGCTGAAGACTTGAGATAATTTTATTGGTGACAGCATTGGGGTGCTTAAGGGTCACAAAGGGTCCTTTGAGCCTTATGAACTGAAAAGTCACTATCCTAAAGATCATATAATTTTATATATGATGGGAAGAAGAAAGTATTTGTCACAATTTATAGACAGGAAGTAAAAACACATGGTTACAACACAATCACAAGAAGTTGGTGGTTAGATCTAAATATTTATACCAAGACAATTGTTCAAATTACTTTGCCGGAGCCTTCCCTTCTCCAGTCTAACAGCACCAGGTAACAGGTCTACAGCGATAACAAGACAAACTCAGTAGTTACGATACCATGGTTAACTAGTAATAAGCATCAGAACCAGCTTCTGTGACCATGATTTGAAGGAATGGGAAAGACAATTCAGCCTAACTTCAATCTTCAAACACTTTTTCTTACAAGCATAAGATTAAAACTGATGGAAGTAAGCAGCTGGTTTACAAGGCTGCAGGAAACCCAAGATAATTCTTCACAGACCTCTAAACACAATGCTTTCCTGTATACAGAAATGGTTTGACCAGAGGCTGAGGAGTAGCAAGAATTCTTATAGAGGATTTAAGGGGATACATTAAGACTAACTTCATATTTCTTAGCTATGTCAAGGATTCTCACATACCTCCATCTTGTAGGTTTGTATGTTTCCTTCTTCACAGATTCATTTTCTTGCTGTTAAAAGATTCCCAACAGCAATGGAAATTGGACTTTGCTGTTCATCCAGAATTTGACACAAGCAATCTTGGTTACAAGTTTTTTCATATCTTTTCTTACTCTTGCTTTTACCTCAGCACCTGGGTCTCCACTGAAACAAAGAAGAAAGCTTTCTTACCAGATATGTTCAAACCTTTCACAGACAAATCCCCAGAATGCTTCATGTTGATACCTTAACACTAGCACCACCACTGCTACCTCAGTTATCCATTACACTGGACACACTTCCTCCAATTCCCAGCTTGCTCCTAGCCCAGGCTCTCCAGGAAACCCTTGTGTCCCTTCTCCATCCTAAGAAGAGAAATGGCCTACTAGGAAGCAAAATTACAATAGACATCTTCAAATCAATGGCATCATACATAAAAAGTTGACAGACTGCAACTTCCTACCTTTCTACTGTCGTAGCTGTGTTCTCTGGTGTAAATGTCCTCATGTACTGATTTTTATTAGTATCAAAAAGCATCTCAACTAAATGGAGGCCCACTGAGCTGACTGTTGGTCTCAAACATCTGGTGATGATATGTCTAAATATTTCTAACAGTGCCTGCTATAGCTGAAAACAAACCCCACAAAATGTGGATAAACAGCTTAGCCTTACACACATAAAGCACAACTTGTAAGTTCTTCATATGCTGCAGATCAAACCTCTCGGCTCACTATGACATCTGCCAGCTATGCCTTGGCACAGTCTGCTGCAAGTATCCCTTCTTGTGGGAACTCAACAGTGTCACACATTAATGGTGTTCCACAGTGCTTTGCAGAAAGAGACGAGAAGCCACTCCCATTGCCCTCCCTGACATGTAGAGAAGGCAGCCAGAGTTCGTCAAAGTGGAGGCAAAAAGTTTGGTCTCATTAGGGAGTTGAAAACATCAAGATCAGCTATGGAAAATGCTTTGAATGCCTGCATGCTCAGGTTTCATAACAGACTGGGGAGTGTGCTCCTGGAATTGGATCTCTCCCTCTGAGCACAGGAACCACCCAGAGATGTTTGGTTTGAGGGTGGATCTATCAATTCTATAGACGTTCATGAAGCCAGTCCTCAAGTTGCACCCCTCAGTTTGAAAAGGCAACAGATGACATACAAAGGAATTTGTTATTTCCTATTAGGTTTTGTGCTTTAGATAACATTTTTTTTTTACTTCTTTGGGAAGACACCTTCATGGTGCAGAGTATCTTCTCATCCCTTGCAATGGCCAAGAAGGAAGTGCAAGTATGTATTACTGGAGACATGAGAGCTGGCCTGTAAACCCAAACCAACTAAACATGGTAGTTCCTATTCACTTGCTTGCTCTGCATACAGTTGTCAGATGCAAGGAATCTCAAAGAAGGTCACCTGCCCAAATAAAGTTCTCAAAATGACTATAATACAAAGTCATCAACTGTTGTCCAGTCATATGGCCAGACAGCAGCTGAAGAGCTGATAAATAACCCTCATTATTTTCCTGCTATAACTAATAGTGACTTAAAGTCCCACCACATAAGGCTATTTACTTACAACATAAAGGAAGTTGAACTCCTTAATTGATCCCCGTAGGACAGAAATATCACTGAAGTCCATCAGCAAAACTGAAAACAGGAAATGTCAGCTAAAACAGAGGATGCAACACAATGCCATTAAAAAAAAAAAAACAAAAACAACCAACAAACCAAAAGTGACAAAAATCTCAAGATAAGTTCCTCTTAAGTAAGAAACAGCTTTTTTATTACACACAATGCCACCAGCTGACTTACTCAGATGTATTCACATAGCTAGGACAGCTTTTCATGGAAACACACTTGCAATTTTACAAAGAGAACACTTGTACACTTTTGACTAAGTTAGTGCTCAAGGAACATGCTTGACGAATGCTTTAGAAGATTCAGATGAGTAAACCCAGGCTTCCGAAAATCCTTATATTGGAACAGAATACTTCAGAAGTAAGGTTTTGGAGACTTCCAAGCACAACTAGATTTCATACAAGGGGCAAGTCTTAGATCAGTCAAAAACAGCTGAAACTCTGTTATCGACTGGACAAAGATCAGCTGATAGTGCACTAAGGACTTCACTACCCTAAAACACATTGTCCTATTCACAACACAGTTGCTAACCTTCTGTAGGTATCTCTCACTTATAGCCATAAATTGCATGAAGATAATATGAAAAAATATTTATAGGCACATCTGTTTATTAGCTTCTCTTTAACTAGAAACAAATTGGTTTAATTTGTGTCAGACAAGACTTTGTAAGCACACCCTGCCTTGCTATGAACTGCAATACCAGACCAATCATTATATTTGTTTATGCATCAGTGTCCTTACCCTCCTCACTCCCGACCCACACATCAAAACCAGAGAGTAGAACAGGATCACAGATCCCTAGTACAAGCATGCATCCCAGGTCAGGGGCATTGCTGTATTTAATTCTTCTCTAGTTGCCAGTGTGCTTGTCTGTGCTGCATTTAGTCTCAGGACTGAGAAACCCATACACCTCTTCAAGTAAAAACACATACAGGACAGAAAGCACCAGTAGAAGAGTACAGACCTGATTTAAAAAAAGAATCCTCAAATGGTTGAGATCTCTGAATCTGACAGGGAAAAAACAAAACAAAACCACAGCAGATTTTTGCTCCCTTTTTAGACAGCACAGCACGTCCTGTTACAGTTCTGTGTACACTCAATACTCCCATTTCACCAGCTGTTAGAGGACCACACAGCAGGTAGGACCTCACTGGTAGATCTGGTCAAAAATTTAAAAGAAATCAAATTCATTCAAGCTCTATCTACTCTGATTTCTAGTCTAGCCTAGTAATCTAGTGCGCTAACCAGGACTATAAACAGTAATGGCTTTTAGGCTTCTTTTCCAAGGTAACCTAGAACCTAAAGAACTGGAAGCAAAGCACAGACTTTCTGAAATTCCAGGACTCCTTCTCCCAAAGCAAAAGCTCTAGGCTGAAAACCTCAAAGCTTTCAGATTCTAATCAGCTGTTCTGACTTGATCAACACTTCATTGTGTAATAAGCAAACAGGTGATTTCAATCAGCAACTGCCATTTCCAAGGGAGTATGGAAAATGTTCTGATTTGCAGATTGCTGCGAACAGTGTTTTTGTTCTGAGTTGGGATAAACTTGAGCTAAGATTTCTTATAAACCAGAAATACTGCAAGTTAATAATGCTCAAGAATAAACATTGCTTGTCATTTGGTTTTGTAGAGCATCTGTAAGTGGTTGGGGCATTGCAAGTGGCTTTTTAAGGGTAGCACTCAAAAACCCCATAAACACACCAAAGAAGTTAACCTCAGCAATTTAGGTTTTGTTGAATTGAAGTGTTTCACAATGTCAGAGATTAACTGGAGAGAAAAACTGTGCTAAATTATACAGGCATCATTTAAAAGATAGTGTCCTGGGCATACAGATCACCAGTTCTGATAACAGAATGAACATTACAATCTGAGGTCAACCCAGACTGAAAGAAAAAAAATTCTCCCATTACAGAGAATAACATGCCTGCTCCTTGGGCCACCAAATATTTCATGGCATTTTCTAGACCAGGATCAGCATGTCTTCCTTGTGGAGACTTTGTCTTTTCTTATAGAGACAACTGGTTTCAGATTATGCTTAGTCCCTCTGTGAAGATACAGTTCCTTATAGTTACAGTAAAGCAAATGTAACTATATCTAGTTCTAGTTTCTACTGGATGGAACCTGAATAATTATGTCCTAGACCCCTCATTGTTAAATTCAGAGTATTAGCCAAACTTGTAGGAGTTCTTTAAAATCAGGTATTGGAGGTTTATTCCCACTTTCACAGAGACTGAACAAGTCTTGATAAATAGCCTGTCAATTGCTGCATCCCACAGCATGTTGCTATGGTTTCATTAACTTGAAGCTGAAGCCAATACCCCAGTTCTTTAGAGCAACCCACTAAGGCTTCTTTAAATAGGGTGGAGAAAGCTGCTTCTTCTACCAGACCTCACAAGGTCTGGACCAGTGAGCAAATCAAAGCTCATATATCCCTCAGAAGCAGCTCTAGCTAAGCCATACAAACCAAGCAGTTTGCAGTGCACCGATCTTGTTCAAGATGTGGCCAGACTGACTCCTAGGAAATACTGGAAAAAATATTTTTCTGGCAGTGCTCTTTCCTGAGATGCACTCTTGGCAACACAGTGATGCCACATATTTAGTACAAAGTCTTCTAGGGAGAGTCAGATGCTCTTAGTCAAGTTGAGATTTTCAATGGTTCCCCCTGGGTCCTAACTTCCCAGGAGCTTTGCCTGCTATCACCACCCTCATACCATCTCGTTAGAGTAATATAAGGATAATAATTTACCAGGATTGTGACAAACTCAAGTCAGTACTTATGGAACTCCCTTTGTCCAATAAAAGATATTGAAATCAATGTGAACCAACACCTTCTAAAGGACATCTCTTGTTCATTATGAGTACTTTTTGGCCACTAATGTTGTCTTAGTTTGTCATATATCACAGCATGGCACAGTGCACTTCTGAGAAAGCATATGCTGGCTATTTTTAAGTGCAAATGACTTTTTTTTTTTTTTTTTAAAGCAATCTATCTTTCTCCCACCGCTATACTCCACTGTGATCCTGGATTTCAGATGTTAGGAGTTACAGTTATGGAATGACCTGTTCCTTGGATTCAGCCATGCTGGAGTTTATGAAAAGGAGCATCAGTCATATTATATTATTTCCATGGGCACAGGCTTCACAGGAGCAATTAAGGCAAAGCTCCTTCTGAATTTTGCCTAGGGAAGAAACCCAGTGTCAAAGACAGTCTAAATAAATAAAACCACATACACAAACACCTGCTGCTTTGAATTTAGAGATTTATGAACAAGGTTGGTATCCTTGCCACTTGCTCTCCTCTCCACCTCAAGCTCTAGAAAATTTTAATTTCACAAGACACCCTGGTATCAATTACACCAGATAGAAGGCCTACTCCAGGCATGCATCAAAGTCAATGAGACAAGAATCTGTCCCAACCTCTACTGCAGCACAACCAGCATTTATTTATCTTTTCCCTTGAGCACTGATGCTTGGTATTTAACTTGAACAAGGCCATCTAGACTGACTGTTTCCAGAACAGCAGCAATTAGCTGCTTATATCCTGGTGATATCTCTGATTATAGTCTGACTTAAGAACCCAGGACTTCAGTTCTGGTTATGGATCAGGCATCTCTGTACCCCAGGAAAGCTGTTTAGCTTGTTTGTCCCCACCTTCTCTCACTGCCAGGATCTCAAGAATGACCAAATACTTAAGCTGCAGTTTCACAGAAACTTCCACAGAACAGCATCATCAGGCTGTACTTTTGCAACCTGAACCAATCCAGCTGCTGTCCATCACAGTCCAGCACTGTCCTTGCCTCAGAGCCCCACACCCTTCCTTTGCATTAACAGAAAAGACACCAAGAAAGTTATTACCTTTGTCATCAGATCTGAGAGCAAAGACAGCATTCCATGAGGACAGGTAAAGGCCAGAACCAGCAAATGGGAAGGAAAGGAGGACTGTGTGGCCAATTAGACCAACCTCAGTTATCACAGCAGCACAGCTTTTGCAATTCTGAAATCTCACTAGCATGTGAAACTCTTATTTTTTGCAAGCTCAAGTATTAGATGTGGTATGAAAAGTGTGAATGGAAGGCCACAGAAGAGCATCTTGATCCAAAGAGTTTTCACTATTCAAGCTAAACAGAGTCTATTACGAAAGGACAAGATTAGACTCCCCAGCTATTATGAACTGAAGAAGGTCTATTGGCTACAGCAGTACTCACAGCCAGAAATGGTTTAAGCCCCAGAAGCTGAAGTGAGGTGGCAGACAGATGAGACAGGTCCTCTAGTTGGCTGAGCACTAGGACAGAAGGGATGCAGCTTGCCCACACAGCAACTCAGAAGCAGAACCAACTAGCTGCCCTTCCCTTTTCCTGTATACTCTTTCAACAATTTTAGCCATTCAGTCTAGTGCTTTCTAGGCTAAGCATCTGTTAGAGCTTATTTTGGCTCAGCTTCAGGTCCCAGTCTTGTTCTTGGGAAGGTATTTTGCCAAATGAAATAGCAACCTTTTGGCTCCAGTGCTTGTGAGCAGATATTTAAAATATTGTTTTTGTCAAGGACAACTTCTTTTGATGGGCTGCAAAAGAGCCAAATTCAACTTGAGACATTATTACAATCCCTTACAATCCCTGGAAGCTCTGGTTTGCATTTGATTAAAGGGCAATGGAAACCAAAGATTTCATTTTAATGGAGCAGTCTTGAGACTTTGCGAAAGGTCTATCCAAAACCCAGAACAACTACTGTGGTGACACAAGCTGAACATACTACTTAAAACAATTAAGTACCGTGTTCTATTTGTGTAGCATGTGCCTGTAATTTGACCTCAGCTGACAAAACAAATGCATTTAGCAACAATTAAGATACATTAAAATCGGTACCGTTATGAACCCGTGATCAGAATTATGTCTTAGGAAAGGCTTGCTATTACACAGGAAATACAATTCTAGTTCCCATGCTGAACAAAGATGATAAAGACTAAACACTACCTTATGTAAGCCCTGTTAAATGCTGGACTATGCTACAAGTCACTATCTACGCAGGCAGTTGTATTTGCTTTGAGTACCTCAGTTGCAACAGAATACTGAACCACAGTTTTCAGTTGAAGAGATACGCTTCTAATGCTATTGACATGCACCATAACAGCCTAGAGATCTTCCATAAGAAAGCAGACTGAAATAAAAGCATACAAAAGTTTTCACGGAAAAGGAATATAACAAGCCGCAAGAAGTGTTTCAGCCTAAAAAAGGCTTCTGCAAAGCACTGGCTAGCATACAGTCTCCATCACTTTTGGAGAGTTCTGTTACAGGATTCACAGACACCCAAGGGTAAAAAGCACATTAAGGTGAAGCTTTACTAACATTATAGCCACCCATCAGCAGCTCTACAATTCTTAACCAATAACTTAATATTTCTGTGAGCCTTCATATACCTGTAAAAAAGTACAAGTCTCTCACAGAAATGAGAAGTATGTTCCACACACTACCTTTTTCCCCACAGCCCTTGGATTTGCTGTAGGTGGTGGCATGATTGATTGTTTGACTACCATCTGTCTAACATCTGCATTCTAGGGAAACCATTCTGCAAATAGAATTAGCTGGCTCTGGGCTACCATTATTCATAATGAATATTCTGTTGTATATTGAAGCCATCACTAATGCTATCCCCTTAAAAAGATTTAGCATACTGACTTACGCTGTTTGCTCCCTTATGCTTGTCCTTCTGTGAAGTTATATGCCTGCATTACAAACATCACCATACAATGCTAGCTGTGACACCTGAGCAAGTTAGCTTGGGTATGGGAAAGCTGACTGAGAACAGAAATTCAGTGGCCTCACTGTCATGTATTAGTCCAGAGAGGCTACTGTACTAACATGGCCTTAGGGCTTCTTGTACCTAAACTTTTTTGAGTGTGTCTACATTGTGATGTATTTGCCAATGTATTTGTTCCAATATATATAACAGAAATATATGTATGTTTGTGTTTTAATTATTATTTTCTTCTTGACAGTGATGCTATATTGCCATCAGCTTTCAACACTCAAATATCCTATCTAACGATCCCCCAAATTGTGAGTGGGTGAAGGTTTCTGCATATTGATAAAACAGTATTTGCTTGATACAGTATTCCTATGGTCATAATATTCTTTTGTAACATTGAGAATTAAAAATAGAATACAAAACTCTAAAAGCTGATATTATCACTTACTTTAGGACGACAGTAGCTTGTCTTAAAAAGAAAGAAACAAAGCCCAAAGCCAAAACCAGCAATTATTGCAAGACTTGCAAGAAAAGATGTGTTTGGCATCACATATCTGGTGGCAATACAGTAGCATGGCACCTTACACAAAAGAGAGTTCAGGGCTCAGAACAGCCATGAACAGAACTACAGGTGCTTCAATCATTTTAATGTCCAGAGGTTGCTACAAACTACATTTAGGATTCCTCTCCTGCTCCCTAAAGGCATAAGTAAGCTCAGCCAAACCACTGTTCATTCTGAACTGCAAGCTCTTTTGAGCTATATATCCTTTTGCGCCTGTATAGCTCCATCTGAACAGAAATAATAATCAAGGCTGCCAGAAATCCAGATCCCAGACTCCAGAAAGCTACTGAAGCTTTAAGGTGTCATGACCCAAATTCTGCTTGCAAAGTGAGTTTCTTGTAAACTCCCTCTAGACTCATAAATATAGTTCTGTTTCCGATAATGTGTTTCTATTTAGCATCTTTTCTTCATTTAAAACCATAATCCTTTGATAACTTTGGGAATATATGGAAGATGTTTAAAAGCAAACAAACAAACAAACAAAGACAAAAACAATCAACAAAAAACAAAAACAGAAAGTAGTTGGGCATCCCTAAAGTTGATTGTTTGTATGAGTAAGCCATAGAACAAATGAAAGGCCAGACTGACCACAGTAATAACTCCCAATGCTAATTCAAAGAAATTAAAAGTAGGCCAGGAAGCTTAAATCTAAATGTGTTTTCAATTGATCTTTGTTCCTGACTGTGTTTAACGGTCAGCTGTTTGATAAACCCTCTGGGGTTCTACTAGTTGATTTCAAACTGGGAAACAGCAAACAGTACCACAGAGAGTAAGATGCTTCTCGTTTCAAGAGAGTGAATTTAAACACTGCTGAAAGGTTGCAGACTTCCAGTCTCAGAAATGTTTTACAGAAGGTATACGGAGATGCTCTTTTTCACTCCCTCTATTTATCTACAGTACTAATACATCTCCCAGAACAGAATACCTGAGCTTCTAACAAACTAAAATAATAGTCATGATAGTCTCCATAATTCTCCTGCAAAGCAAGGTGGTGTTATTACCAAAACTTACTCTGATGCAGAAAGACTCTGGTCTATATTCAGATGACCAATATTTCATCCATGCCCCTAAGTTTAGTGTTTCCTACAGACTAGGTGTCTTTGAAGGTCACATCAGCCAATACAGGACTCAGTGCAGGGACTGAGGTAAAATTTGATTCAGTTCCACTGGGCATAATGTACGTCTAACCTCTGCCATTCTGAGAGAATATGCTTCTAAGACTTTCATTTTGCTGGAGAAACGCTGTGTTAACCCCAAAATGAGTCTTTAGTTTCTGTTCTTCTGTTTCTAATCACTTCTTCAATTCTTAAAACTATTTTTAAAAAAATTTTTAAAAATACAGAAACAAAGCCCTTTCCCAACAATTAGATCCTTGATAGAGATAAAACTTTTTTTTTTTTTGAGCTACACAGACAAGATATTTGAAGCCATAGGGGCAGGCATGCTCAGAATGAGATAGAATGCATTCATAAACTACAGTACGGCGATTAGAGTGCAGAAGCAAGAACAGAAAAGCAAGCTGCTAGCCCAGCCTCCCCTTCATTCCCAAATACTCAGAAGTCAGCCAGCCCACTGCTGGCCAGAACTATCGCAAACTGATGCCACCTCAGTTCTTTGTCTCATGCTGTCATCCTATTTTCACAGGTTAGGGCTGCATTCAGATGATTTGCATTAAGCAGGTAAGTTAGATGCTTATGTTAGACATCTAAGCTCTGTACACTCTTCATACAATCAATACTCAGTGACAGTTGCTTTAAGAGGGCAACTACGAGCATCTAAGT